AACTTACCTTAAATGTATCCTCTACTGATCATGATCCTGACATCTCTATGTACTTTTATATTGACTTGACCAGATAAGGGTTTTAAACTTTAGTGAATGAACTAACTTGATTTGGACTTGTTTTTTTTGTAGCTTATCAACAAATGCCAGTACAAATGGTTTACCCCCACAAACTATCGCTACTATTAATCAGGTGAGTAAGCCCTCCAATTTGGGATGGAATGGGTCCATTCTGATAGCAACTATATACACGTCTTGTTGCTTAACTGGACTGTTTTCACTAAACTTAAAAACCATAGTTATCTCACTCTAATTGATGTATTTGTCATTTGTTAAACCTGATATACCAATGAGAATGCATTAATGCAGGAAGTTAGGCCAAGAATATTAAGACTTAAAGGGGCACTCCCAGTTGAGCATAATCTCACAACAAATTTACTTTCAGAATTAAAATTAAAATGGATAACAAAAGATTAACTTTGTGAACAACATGAACAATAGTGTCCCATGATTCTTTGGTGCAATCCATGGGATTGAGCGGTTCTTCTTGAAAATGCACATTTTATTGTTCTCCAAATTAATTTAGGGTTTGCTAGAGTAGTGTTTTTTGTCAACAATAAATCAAACTTGTATTGTAACCATAGTATGCATTTAACTAAGGGGGACCCCCACAACAAAAAGTGGTTGTCTCTTTGAATAGATGCAACAAATGTGCATAGTAGCTGCCTGGTGATGAAGAGCACTGTAAAATTTGTATTAGAAGCTGCTGTTTCTATGAAAATTGTATAATGCAACAGAGGGGATGCGGTTTCTATTGGAGCATCTACACAAATGAGAAATGGAATTTTTCACTCTCAATTATTAAAAAAGAATTGGTGCGACTTCTAATACTGACTTTACGGTACTTGTGTTGGTGGCATTACCTAAAGATTGTCATTTTTAGTTTCTTTGTAATTTGCCTTCCAGCAGATGGAGTTTAAATATTCTAATCACTTTCTTAAACTTAATATATCAGACTGGTTCAGAAATCTAGTTAGGTCCAAAATAGCAAGACAAAAGTTTGGGATGTTCAATGATACAAATCAGAATTCTAGGTAATTTTTAGTACTGTTTGGGTGTAATGAGGGTCAATCTATAAACTTGGGACTTCTTTATGACATGCATGACCTTTAAGGAGTTGTACATCCTGGTACTTCATGGGTATTGTAGTCTTAGAACCACAATAATTTCCTAACACGTGACATGCTAAACTTTTTAAAATTGATTTATTCCTTGTTAGTAAAATAATGGTTTTTATAACCACAAAAAGAGCAGGATGGGGGGGGGGGTACCTTTTGTATTTCTGATTCAGTTTCTGCACTGCTGACCATGTACCGGTACATCTATGCAAAGTATTTTGAGATTTAACCTCCCCTTGTGAATTAGACAAAACTATTCTCTTTGTACAGTTTTTGAGAGGTTTTCACTACAATAGGATTCTTATCAATGAGTTTCATCTCATAAAATCTGACGAAAAATTCATGGAAACCAGTATAAAAATGCTTATAATATTGTTGACCAAATTTCATTTTTCATTTTCGGTGTCCCAATGGTTTGATCCCATGAGTTAAATTATAATCAGAGATACAAGATCTTTAATTCACTCCTAAACCTATCTTTAATCGTATCACTACCAGACTTTCTTGCCCAAAATTTTCTGCACTTGTATATTAAATATTTCTGGTAATGGATCCTCATTTTGGAGCAAATTTGGGTAAATTTTCAGTTTTTACTCAAAAATTGGGATTTTTTTTTTTGTCCCAATCAACTGAAGAAAACTGCAGACTATAAAAATGACTATTTTGTGATGTAGTGGGAACTTGTGAAAAATTAAGGCATATTTATTCATTGATTTATTATTTTACAGGTCATAAGCAGAGGTTTCCAAACATCAGCAGTGCAACGTGATGTAGAAGCTGCAGCAAAATTCATTGGTGCTGGTGCTGCCACTGTAGGAGTTGCTGGATCCGGTGCTGGTATTGGTACCGTATTCGGTAGTCTTATTATCGGCTATGCCAGAAATCCTTCCCTTAAACAACAGCTTTTCTCGTACGCCATTTTAGGGTTTGCTCTGTCTGAAGCTATGGGGCTTTTCTGTTTGATGGTAGCCTTTTTAATTTTGTTTGCTTTGTAATTTACTTTATTTCCCTGTGTGTCAAGAATGGTCCCACTGTTTGGGTCCTATTTCTTACTATGAATTGTAAATGTCGGAGGTTTATGAAGAATGTGTTGTCATGTTGCCTGTCAATCGATGACCAAATTTTCTGACAATATCAAATGTAAAATTATTATCACCAGAGTTAGGTTGTGTTCTATGCTGTGACCGAGATTAAAAATAACCCAAACGAATTTGAGAATGTGTTTGTGTTTATTTCTTTGTGTTGCAGGAAACTGAACTTTCAGTATACTGTGATACTTTATTTTAGCTGGAATTAATTTTCGCTGAAAAGACTTTTTGGGTGTTATGTATGGAATTTTCTTTTCCCTGATTTTTGACAAGTTGAATGTAAAATATAGGAAAAAAGGTATGTTCGCTGGATTTTGTTTTCACTGAATCATTGCTTCAGCGAATATTAATTCCAAGCGAAAATAAAGTATTTATCAAACAGCAGGGATGCAGCCATGGCCATGCGCTCCCCTTACCCTGGGGAGAAAATCCATCTGGCAACCATAAAATTCTGGATGGTGACATGCCTGATAGTAATTTTGGCCCCAAGGAAGCTATAGAATGCTCCATTTTAACTCCACTTCCTGGTAGGTAGAACTCTATTCCCCCCCCCCTCCCCATTTGGTGGTGCCGCCGCTGAATTGCAGTGCTCCTTCTTGCAGTTTGTTTACTAGAAAAAAAACCTGAACAGCATAGCTATGAGACTAGATTAAAGACTTGTACTACAACAATCGCTGCTTTGCCAATTACTCTCGGTGAAAGTGTCCAAATGACTACTCGGTGCACTGTCCCTGCACATCACAAAATGATGAATGTATTCTTAAAATGCCAAATCCTTTGTAGAGTAGGGGCTTGTAGGTACGGACTTAAATACTAACTGGTTTGAACCCAGCTAGGCCAATCATTTTCAGGTGGGAAGAACTCTTGTTCACTTGAAAACTGGACAACTCAGTTCAGAAAAGCCAGATACAAATCATCTTTGCCAGCCGAAGACCATTTATTCAGCCGAAGCATCAACATTAACCCTTGGCAGATTTCACCACGCTTTACTGGATGTCTCATGCCCTCAAATGATTACAAGATTCACTTCGGCCATTTGTATCACCGAATCAGAATTCTCAAAAGAAAACTACACATTACTTGGTAAAATTAAAATGGTGGAATAAAATAAACGTGTTGCTAGCTTTTTCTCTCAGCTTGCTGATCATCAAGGGAAAGCTTAGTGCTGTATCTGAGGAAAATGATGTGTTTGTCGCAAACACAGTTCCTCGACTGTGTTGCAACGAGGACCAAATCGGATTAGTTAATGTTATGAGTTTTGACAGTTTTGTCAATTTACTAAAACACAGTTTGCACAAATATTTAGACATTCAATCGTCTTCGTTCACTTGTCCACAAACAATTATCAAAGTTGG